ATAATAAATAACACACACACATATATAATGATTAGAATTTTTAATTATATTTTATATTATATTATTTTATATATATATTATATATATATTTATTATTTATATTAATTATATATTTATATTAATTATATTTATGTTAATTCCAAATGTTCAGTGCTTACAATGATATGTACGATATGTACGTGATGATTATATAAATACAATTCATACTATAAAGCTATGGTTAAAATATTTAAATGATATTTCATATTATTTTTATATATATTTTAATTATATTTATTTATTTATAATATTATAGTTATAATATTAATTATATTTATATTAATTCCAAATGTCCAGTGCTAACAATGATATATAAAAGAAATACATAATGATGAGAAATACAATGCATAAAATAAATGATAAATAAATAAATTATATGCATACAATGCATATAATAATATATAATGTTTTTTATATATTCTATATGCACTGTAAAATCCAATAGTTTACCTTACTTAGATTTAATTAGTTATCTTTACTTAGTTGTTATACTAGAAGAGCTTGAAAACCATGCTATTAAGGCAAAGGATGGCTAATTTAAGGAACTAAAAATGTAGAGACAGGTTTTCTTTTGTTCAACTGACAATTTTATATAGGTACCACATGTCCAGTGCTTACAATGATATATAGAAATACATAATGATTATATGAGAAATACAATGCATATAATAAATAACACACACACATATATAATGATTAGAATTTTTAATTATATTTTATATTATATTATTTTATATATATATTATATATATATTTATTATTTATATTAATTATATATTTATATTAATTATATTTATGTTAATTCCAAATGTTCAGTGCTTACAATGATATGTACGAGAAATACATGATGATTATATAAATACAATTCATACTATAAATAATAATAACACACATACAATGATTAGAATTCTACTTTGTAGCTAGATTTAGCGACTTCCCCACCCCTTTTGAGACTTTTTTCAAAAGTTTAGGGACAAATATATCAACTGCTTGGACAAACCTTATCTACGTTCTCATCTTGCCCACTGATCTACGTTCATCTTTATATAGATCAGTGAATTTGCCATTGTGATGTCATCTAGTGACATTTAGCTACCAGTTTTAGCTACTTTCAATTGAAAGCAGTTGGCAACACTGCTAATGTGCAACATAACAACAGAAGAAGAAGAAAATAAAAAGCGTCTTAATAGACTTTTCACCCATTTCTTCCATGTCTGCAGTTATCTTTCACTAGTTGCATTCACTCGTTTCCCAAAGTCATCTTGAATGTTGAATTTTCAATACAACTGAAATATTTGAGAGAACATCACATAAGCTAACTTCATAAATTGATGTTGATTTTCCTAAAATGTGTTTTTTTTTTTATTCACCATTATAGTGATTAGTGCTCCCTTTGGTTGGGCACTTGGAACTTTGTTTACGTTACTATAATTTCCTTCATCATGAAGTAAGAGTTATTTGAATTCAAGGGAAGAAATGTAATAAATAAGTTGCTTTTAGAAAGTGACCTGTCTTCTAATTAAAGCATTAGTGATTTTTTTTGTGTGTGTGTGTTTATTAATGAACTTTTTCAAATTTTATTTATCATAAATACCTTGAGATTATTTTAATTGGGTTTATATAATCCTTAAATCGTGTGTGGTAATATGCTAAAGTCACACAGACTTAAACATTCAGCAGGTGAATCACAACAATGGTAACAATTCAATTTCATTTATTTTTATTAATTGTAACAATAACCATTTTATTGTTGCAAGACAGCAAATAAAATTGGCAAATAAAATCAACAACTGTAAAACAAAGCAACTGCATAATTTATTCGTGCCGCAATGCACTCTGGGAGTCAGTGAGTAGCTAAGTCATGAGTAAACCTAAATGAAAGGATCAAGTACCCCCTACAGTTCTTTTTTAGTTACTAGAACTCTCGTGTAAGTAAGCTATACTAACTAAGCATTTGTCAGTACAACATACTATTCCTATTTCACTTTACTTAGTTTTTTCAAGGCAATCGGTTTGCATGTTTTTTTTAAGTAAGCCCAACTAATTAGATTTTTACAGTGTATTTATATATTTTTATATATATCTTTATATATTAACAATGTAGACTGTGAAGGGGAAAAACTTAAGAAACAAATTTACAGTCTTATATTGTATGGGTACAAACCCTTTTAACCCAGACTTGTATACTCTGAATTGCTCATTTCTATCCTGTTCTAAAGATTTGAATTATCTAATGCCTTTGTATCTCATTTAGGCAAGGAGGGAGCTGAAACATAGCAGGCTGGATCAGGAGCTTCACTATAATGTTTTGGGAATCAAACCAGCAGCATAGAGCAAAATATGGCTGCTGGGGAACCTGCATGCATCAATTCTCCTGTGACTGTGATCCACTGCTTCATTCTCTTTTCTCTCTCTCTCTTTCTCTCTTTCCCCCTCTGCCTCCTCCTTCCTTTCTCAGCAGTATTGCAGTTTCCATGCGGACTGTTAGATGGACTGCTGCTATCTGAGAGAGCAGAGAGAACTGTGACTTCAAAGCATGAGAAAATGATACAGAAAATACTCTGCCATCAGCACAATTTCAGGTTCCAGAGGACATAACGCTAATGCAGTAAAAGTATTTTCCATCCCCATTTACTATAAATACATCACACTGTAAAAATACGGCAACTGTGCTGTGCCAAGTCAAATGTTAGCAAGAATCCTTTGGGACCTTTGCGAATCCAAAGGCACAATGAGAATCCTGGGGCTCCTAAGGGAGGCTGTGAAGTGAGGCAGAAAGAAGAGACAAATTGTCCGCATAGTCCTTGAATAAAAGAGTAGAGTGTCTCAAAGCAAACGAATAAAGGTAAACATCTTTAACATTTACAAGCACAAAACTCATGGGTCAGTTTTTATGTATTTCATAATTAAAAAGGCCAAAATTCGTTATAGTTTTACATTTCAGATAGCTTAGAAAACAGGTACAAACTCATACCTACTTTCTGTTCATCTGTTTGGATCCCACTGGATAATATTTCAATATACTGTGCTTAAAAAGGTATTATGTTAGATTAACAGTCCACTAGACTGTTAGCTGCCTCACTAAATAATAACTATGTCTTTTTAACTGCCATGGGGTACAGTCTACTCTTAAATTGTCCTGCATTTTCAAAGCTTTGAAAGGCCTATTTCAGATGAGAACCGGAGGGCTTTATGATTAAGGCTGGCTCACTCTGATCTGGTGCCAAGTGCCAAATTTGCCTGCAGGTGCAGATCCACCTACAGCATCTAACACATACCTAGGGCTTACTCAAAGAAGCAGAACACATCCCACTGAAGCCTGTATTTGCAGTTGTGTATGCAACAATAATACCAATAGAATAGCACAGTGTAACTACACTGAGAGGAGACATTTAAAAAGATAGTCCACTCAAAATGAACATTTTGTCTTTATTTATTCAGTTTAATGTTGTTATAAACATGTACGACTTTCTTCTGTGAAACAAAATAAACAAACAAAAAAAGATATTTTGAGAAATGTTTTTGAGAAATCTTGGAATGGAAGTCAATGGTAACCAGAACTGTGTGGTTACCACCATTCTTCAGAAATATATTTGTTTAAATTCTGCAGAAGAATGTCATACAGGTTTGGAAGGACATGAAGTTGAGTAAAAGATGACAGAATTTCCATTTTTGGGTAAACTCTTTAAGTATTTACAATGCCACCAAGTGGTATCTTTTAAATCTGTGCTTTTATCTATATATTACATTTTAATTTATAATTATCTTTTTTTATGTTGTTACTAGCACTTAATTAATAATTTCTAGTAAGTAATTCAATACTACAATCTTCAATAATCTTTACCAGTAACTAAAATGATAGTTTATAAATTACTAGTAGGCCTACTTATTTCAACAACAACTGGGATACTAGAATCCAATAAAAAGTACTTGTAAAGCTGGAATAGATAAGCTTAAGATAACTAGAAATAAATAATATCTACAGAACAGTTACAAGCAGAACTGGAAATACCTCTTCTTCATAATGACTAGTCACTAAAGAACTAGTAGCCTAGTACTAGTGTCTAATTAATAAATACTGGCTTAGCTAACTGCTATTCAAAGAGCTTAAAAGGGGGCTAACTGAATAGATGCTACAGTGCTGGAATAAAATTTTGCTGTCTCCTAGTATTCCTATGCTACTACTAGTATTAGGTAGGCCTACTACTAGTATCTAATCAATTGTCAGGCATAGGCCTACTAGTGAAACTGAAAAAGGATTGGATTACTTACTAGTATCTGATAATAAAAAATACTAGTAAAAACAGATATCAGTTAGTTCAAAGGAATGCATGTGATCAATAGCACTTGGAAAGTAAAGAAAGTAAAGAAAAATGTAAAAAAGAGATATATAACTAGTCAAAATAAATCAGATAGGCCTATCATCAAATGAAAGATTAAACAACGCTTAAACTGGAAATATTCTCTAAATACTGCTGTCAGCAAGTCAGCAAGCAGAACATACAAAATTGTTTTCTGTTTTAAAATAAAAAAATAAAAAATTTGTTAAAATAAGAATATTTTGTTCTTCTGTTGTCGCCCTTCTTCCATAGCACTGTGTTTGCAGATGTGTGGACGACATTGTGCACCAGCGCCCTCTTGGGTCAGCAGGCGTTACTGCACACTGCGGTGCAAGACGGGCTCGGGTTCGGTGCGCCCAAATGTGTTGCTTATGAAGACTGGGTCGATGAACCGCTGCGTAAAGTGTGCTTCTTAGACCGCTCGACAGCTCAAAACCCCCAAAATCCCATCGAGCAGCGAAACGGCTCCCCGACAGACGCAACCAAACCCGTTGGCACCCGATGAGGGAGGGTGGAGAGGGCAGAACTGGCGAAACTGATTGGTTTTCGATTTTAACGAAGAGCCGCCTTATTTGACTCAGAACCGACTCAGCTTTTTCCCAGGAGAGAAAAGCAAGTTTGTTGGTGTTTGTTTGGTAGGGGGGGTAACAATCTGCGCGAACCTGGCCCTTTAAATTACCTCCACAATCAGTGTAGACGAGGTGAGTATACAACAAGCTCTTATTTTCTGTCTTCCTTCTGGTTTGTAACCGAGCATCCGTTTGCTTTGCCGAAACGCCTGTGTTTTTCAATGCGTTTGCGTTAGGTGCTCCACTCCATCGGTGTCACGAATCCGAAACCGCTTGAATTTTCCGAGCCTTGTCCGGTGGGGTGGGGAGTGGGCTTCTTATCAGTAACATTTAGTACATTGTACATTTTATATGTCTGCTTTGGAAAAAAAAAATGCGAGGCCAAGACTGGCATTTGGGTGTTTGCGTGAATCAAGCTTTGCTCTCTGGCTCAAACTAAAGCTTAACAGGCGAGAAGCAGCAGCAGCTTTCCTGCGCCTCCTGTCAACACCTTTACGCCTTATATATTATCTTATTCTGTGGCTGATATTTAAAGCGCCGGGTCACTGTGGGCTTGGACATTGTATACATCGTTTGATGGAGTCTTCAGAGCTATAGGCAGGGAGGCGTACATAGCGTACCGTTTGTCAAAATGCCCGCATCGTCTTTCCATCAGTGTGAGCAAGGCCTACCAACAGCAACAGAGCTCTGGAGCAAAAAAACTGTGCAATACTGACTGCACTTCTGCATCGTTTTGGGTTGATTTATTGTGACGATGTCATGATAAAATGTTGTCTGAATGCAGTAATACAGCTCTGGTCTTGAAAAAGCTCAAAAACTCCCAAACAGCACTAATATCATCTTCACAGGCCTGCCTTTCCTTACATTCTTGCTGGAGTTTACTTGCAGGCTTGTGCATAATTAACAGGCATGTACGTTTCCTTTTTATAGGAAAGGAATATTTCTTTTCACCATAGATCTCGGTTCATAGTGGCTCTACAAAATATCTAGTGAACAACCCACTGGGGCAAAGGAACAGAAAACTCTATAAGATGTTTAGATGAACGGGGGAAAAACCTTGAGAAGAACCAGACTCGATTGGGGAGCCCATCCTCCTTTGGCAAGACTATTACAATAAATGTGGATATGCCAAAAATCATCTAGTTACTTAGTATGGGTAGTACTAGTAATGTTTAGTCACATTTAGATGGTGTCAATATATATGTATATAATATTATTTTATTTATTTGTATTCATATTATTAACATTTGTTTTATTAGTGTATTTAATAGTATATTATTTATTATAGTATTAAATATATAGTTTTTGTTTAGAATTTATAGTTTTGTAGTTTTTGTTTATAGAACAATACAACATAGAACTCTAGAAAGACTTTATCATACCTTTTTTAGTTTTTTGCTTGTTACCTAAAGAAAATCATCTTTTTACACTCAGCACTTCTCTAGTGGTCTGTTGTATTATATTGTGCATTTTGTTATGCATGCCAAGAAGTTTAATTTTTGTTGTCATAGTTCTCCTTTATAGGGAAACCTCTGAGTTGTTTTAAATAACCAGGTTCCTCCTGAACAGAAAGAGCAAGTAAATTCAGCAAATGAAGTATTTGATTTGCTCTGGTCGATGGAACGTACTACATTTGGAGAGCTGATGGATCGCTCCTGTTTACCTATTATAGAAAGTGACCTCATGGCGAGCCTTTATCATGGTTTTGGCAACATTACCATACAGAGCCACATAATTCACAGTGTGCTAGTACACGGTGCTCTGGGTCTGGTTAGATTTACTACAGAAGTCCAACCTGCCATGCCATGTCCTATTGATGTACGTAATGCTGTGTACTACTGTATACTCACCTGACATATGCTACTACACGTCTGTTACATGTCACATTGTCTAGTGCAGGTGCAAGTACCACCTCCCCCTCCCTCGAATATACAAACAACAATATAAAAGCATGTGTCCATATTGGCTTTGCTTTTATTCAGCTCTCATGCTTTGTGAAAGACTATTTTGTATATGTATTTTAGTAGTGTGTGTAGATAGTGGATATAGATATACTTATGTAATTTAGCAATTTTGTAGTATGTATATATTGTTAAATCACCAATTATAAAGTATTTAAAATCAATTATCTCAAGCTAATCAGATGGCTTGAAGTGACCTATATTTTTCCCGTGTGAATGCTTCCAGGGACACGAATATAATTACATCTGGACCTGCTCCTGTGCACTAATTACAGAACCGGCACACTCCACTCACTTATTCCATAGGAACCCTAATTAAAAAATAAAAGAATACTTACATTTTCTGTATACAGTAACAGATGGTTGGCGAAATGCGGAAGATGGCCACTTTGTTTTGCTTGGCTAGGATCATACTCAGCGCTCCATTGAATGAGATGAGATTAATTATTCATAGGTTTTGATTTTGCCACCTCACATCTCTCTCTCATTCTACTCTGGTTTGCCTGGTTGGAAATGTTTGTTTTGACAACATGAATAATGGTTATAGCTGTAATGCACATTATTTCACCATCTCGTGTACAACTTTGAAAGTGTATGAAAAAAGTGCTGCCAGTTATGATTAGACTATAAATATTTTCTATATTGGGCTATTTTATTTTTAATGCAGTGTTGCATATTTGTAGGATTGATTTATTGTGAAATGTTTAACTATTAATACAAAAGTCTATTAAGCTTGTATATTTTTAATGTGAAATATTTTAAATCATAATGCTGTAGTGATGTAATAAAAGTCAATGATATTAAAACATTAAATGGTATTAATAGTTGCAAAGAGAAAGAGTAAAGGTTTTCAGTGACCCAAGTGAAAACAGGTTGGAATTTACAGTATGTGTACACTTGCTTGGTTAAATCCTGTCTGAGCATATTTCCATGTCACGATTAGAGGGGGATAAAAACAAAACCTCACAGATGGTGGTGGGGCAGATTAATTCTGCATAGCTACTAAAAGTAGATTAAGATTGCAATAATGCTAATTCTGACCTAATCTGTATTATATGAATTATGTTAGTGGCCTTGCATCAGTACACTGCACCCTGGTGATCAAATTGATTGTTTCCCCCCCCCCCTAATATATCACTGCCTGATCCTGTGTGGCTTATGATATTTTTGAATGACTTTATAACATTATTGTTTTTATTATTATTATGATTTTTTGCTATGGTTTTCATTTGTATATGTGTGTATATGTATATGTATATATATATGTATATGTACAGTGGGTACGGAAAGTATTCAGACCCCCTTAAATTGTTCACTCTTTGTTATATTGCAGCCATTTGCTAAAATCATTTAAGTTAATTTTTTTTCCTCATTAATGTACACACAGCACCCCATATTGACAGAAAAACACAGAATCGTTGACATTTTTGCAGATTTATTAAAAAAGAAAAACTGAAATATCACATGGTCCTAAGTATTCAGACCCTTTGCTCAGTATTTAGTAGAAGCACCCTTTTGATCTAATACAGCCATGAG